CACTCAGCACACCCGGCCGGGCAGCAAGGACGGGCGCGGGGCGGACCCAAACAGCTCACCATAGAGGGCTTGAGGGGTGGGCTGCTCCGCAGACGGGTACTGCGGCGTGGAGGAGGACACGATGGCCTGCGGGTGGCTCCCCGACGTCAGCATGCGTGGGTTGCTCTGCAGCATGGGGGCGAACACCGGCTGGGGGCAGAGGCAAAGCTGTGAGCACCGCAGCCTGGGGCAGCGCCTGCCTGCCGCTCAGTGCCCAGCACAGCCTTACTCGGGCGCACAGAAACCCTACCAAGCTGACACTTTCCACACGGCGCCCCACGCCTTGCTACAGGCCGATCCCACCAGAGGCAAGGCTCAGTCTCACGCACTGAAGCATACAGCGTATGTTGGGAAATGGGAACATGTTCAAACGGAAGGGGAACACAGGAGCAAAGGAGAAAGGGAGGGAGGGAGGGAGGGAGGGACGGGAAAACAGAAGGAGAAAAGGAAACAAAGCTTTTGTACAAAGGCAGGGGATGAGGACTGAGGAGGAATGGGATAAAATTAAATAAAACAAGCTTTATGGTCTGACATCGATGCTGCAGCCCACCCGCCCCGCAGGGGGACCCGCTGTGCCTGTCACCTGGGAGGGGTAGTGGGCCATCGGCTGCATCATGGCAGGCTGGCCCGGGAACTGCTGCGGGCTGTAGGGGATGTAGGAGGAGTACGGTGTGGCGGCCACCAGGGGTGGGCCAGCTGCGGCAGCGGCCTGCATCATGGGAGGAGCTGAGGCGGGCTGGTGCTGGTCTGCACGCTGGGGCGGGAGGGAGCCTGCGGGCAGCAGGCAGACAGCGCGGGGCTCAAGCTCCATCTGCGGAGCTCCGTGCGCAGCTGCCGGCCCCTCCCAACCCTGCTCACCTTTCGCTCCCCGGTACTTGCCCTGCTGCCCAGGCACTGAGTTGGAGACGGGGTACGGATACATCTGCGGTGCCTGGAGGACAGGAACACGGGCGAGGCTGAATGCCTTGCTTACAAATGTCCAGAATAATCTAGTAACAAGTGCTGGAGGCTGTGGGGAAAAAGGAGCCCTTCTACACTGCTGGGGGGAGCGCAGACTGGTGTAACCAGTACAGAAACCAGTTTCAAATAATTTCTACTACAATTTTTTTTTTTTTGAGGCAGGGTCTCACCATGTAGTCCAGGCTGGACTCAAAAACACATGCAGACCCTTCTGCTTCAGCTTCCCACATGCTGTGATTACAGGTGTGCGTCACCATGCCCCACACAGCAGCACGATTCCTAACAGCTAAATCTAGCAAGCAGTCTACATATCAACAGATGAATGGATAAAGAATGTATTTTTTATACAACAGTATATAAATGTATTTTTTTTTTTTGAGACAGGGTCTCACTATTAGTTGAGATTGACCTGGAACTCACTATGTAGCCCAGGCTGGTCTCCAACTCACAGCGATCCTCCTGCCTCAGCCTCCCATGATGTGATTACAGGCGTGCACCCCCATGCCCAGCTAAATGTATACAAAATTTATACTACTCTGCCATAAAGAAAAAGGAGTAATTTTGCATGAGGAAAATAAAAAAAAAAAAACCCTGAGACTTTTATCTTTAACCATAATGTTAAGTGAAAATAAATTGGATATGTAAGTTTAAATACTGCATGGTTTCTTTCATATAAGAAACTCAAAATACATGTTAAGAGCAAGATGAAGATAAAAAGATAGTGGGAGGGCTGGAGAGTTAGCTCAGTGGTGCCGCCGCCTGGCCACCTGCCTCGTAAGCACAAGGTCCTGAGTTCAATCCCTGCTACCAGGGAAGGGGGAAAAAAAGATGGTGGGAAATACAAAGATAGGTCTTTTGTACCAACTCCCCACAAAGAATGTAATCACTTGCAAAATGTACTAAAAGACAAACAAAAAAATGAAAAAAGTATGTTGGGAGCAGGCCTGACCTGGTCCTGGGCCCCGGGCCTACCTGCACAGCCGGTCCCATGTGGATCTGAGGTATGTAGGAGATGTACTGGGGGCTATAGAGCCCGCTCTGGCCTGCAGTCAGCACCGGGATGGAAGGGGTTGAATGAGTCCGGGGCCCTGGAGAAGTTGGGGTACTGGTAGATTTGTTCTACAAAAGATGATGGAAGATGGCGGTTCATTCCACGTGTGCCTGCGCAGCCTGGCCCTGCCTAACCAACAGCTGGCATTCATGGGTGGGAGCAGGGTGAGCACCAAGTCACTCACATGGCAACCGACACTGACAAATCCTAGTTTGTGCAGAGTCCCAGACCAATGGTGAACACTGACTGGACAGTTTTCATGTCAAAATGCACTGAAGGCCAAATGCAATGGGTTTCAGCATAGCACAGTACCCAAGTTCAGCTGATACCCTGTTTTCTGACTAAGCCTCCTACCAAATGCTGAGGTAGGGCAATCTCAGATTACAGGTGAGGAAATAGGTAGAGGTTTGGAGGTGAGGGAGCTCACCCAACCAAGATCCAGAAACCCTGTAAGCAGGTGCCAGTGCTGAGGAGCAGAAGCCAAATCAGTGGGCCTGAATGAATGCCTGGAACAAACACTTCGTGTGCAAATCTGAGAACCACCTGCCAGCCTTGCTGGGAGCCCTTACGCCACCCTCGAGACGCATCTCCTTCCTCCAAAACCGTGCACTGGGGCAGCTCTCCTTGTGCTCCCAACACAAGCCAGGGGTACCAGCAATAACGCCCTGTCCCAAGAGCCCAAGTCCACACTCTCCTGCCCCATCTCACCACAGACAGCAGAGGCTTTGCGGGATTGAACTCCTTCGCATTGGGGTTCAACGTTGACTTCTTTACTTGTCTATGAAGGAAGATGAAGTCAAGTCAAGTCAAGTCTTCACAGCCCTCCCTATCACCAGACCCCACCCGGCTCCCGGCCCACTTACTCAGCAACAGGACCCTCATCTTTGTCGTCCCCCTTAAGACCCACTGGAGGGCTGCCAGTCTGGCTTGGGCAAGGAGGCAGGGTCTGCTCTGGGCCCTCAGTGCCTCCTGCTGGTACCAGGGGAGCTTTGTCCTCCTTCTCTGATATGGACTCTGTCTTGGAGGAGACCGGGGACCCCATAGGCTCTGAAGTCAACAGTGTGTCCTCCTTCTCCTTCCCTTTGGCTTCTTCCTTTAGGATCCGGGGAGGAAAAGGATCCATGCTGCTCTCAGGGGAGGTACTGGGCTGAAGCTGGAAGGAGAGACATACACAGGCCTGTCTGGCGCAGGCCACAGACCCCGCCTCCTTGCTCCAGCTCGGATCTTCCACCCCCTCGGCCCTCCAGTGCTTTACAGACTCACCACAAACCCCCACAGCCTACAAACATCCCCCACTCAACTCCGCACTGTGCTCACCTTAAACTGGGACCCAAACTTTCTCAGTTCTTCCAGATGAAATCTTTTCTGTTCATTCTGAAGGCCAGGGACTATGAGAAAACAGTGGAGAAAAGAGAGAAAATATAATATGCTTCTTTCTCACAAGTAGTTTACAGTTGGTTAGTAGTCCCGAGGTCAAGAAACCCAGGGAGGCCAGGTGTGGTACACAGTGTAATCCCAACACTTAGGAGGCTAAGGTAGGAGAGTGGCCCCACGCTCAAGGCCACTGTGGACTACACAGTGAGCTCAAGGCCAGCCTGAACTATTTATTGAGATTCCGTTTCAAAAATCAAATCAGCAAAAGAAACTCAGAAAAATGGGGCACTCTTGAGAATCCCAGAAGTGAGATTAGGATCAAAGGGTCAACGGAAATTGCTACTGAGTCCCAACAAACTGGCTTGTGGAAATGTTCTCCCAAATAAAGGGCACTCGATATTGGCAATACCAACCCACCCCACATCCAGCTGTGATGGAGCTCAGTGGCAGAGTGATGGCCTGGCACACGTAAGACCCTGGGTTCCATCCCTAGCACACATAAAGGACACAGAAAAAAAAATTTTTTTTTTTTTGGTTTTTTGAGACAGGGTCTCACTATGTAGTTGAGACTGACCGGGAACTCACTGTAGCTCAGGCTGGTCTCGAACTCGCAGCGATCCTCCTGCCTTAGCCTCCCAAGTGCTGGGATAAACAGGTGTGCGCCATCATGCCTGGCCAGAAAAAATTTTCTAAAAAACCACTAAACCCCAAAAACTACAACCCTACAACCTTCACCTTTCCCAGATATCCGGGCCAGCTCCTGGGGCTCCAGAGTTCTGCCAGGCTCCTTAGTAGGGAGTTCTTTTACTGAGAGAGGAGAGAAACAGATACCTGAAGGCCCTGTCTAGAACCACCCTTCAGATCGTCCTCAGCCCCCAACCACCCAGCACTTACCATCTGTGGGAGTCAGCGAGATCTTTGGAGAAGCTGGGGAAATGGAGCCTACTCCAGGATCCGTGACTGATGATGTCACAGGTATGGAGGCTGAAGAGGTTGCTAATGCCGAGCCCATAGGAGGCTCAGGACAGGAAGCAGAGATGGGGGCAGGAGCAGCAGACTTGGGAGAGCGTGGAGGGTACATTCGGCCCACTGGAAGAAAAGGAAGGGCTATACAATGGTCTGCTGGTCATTAAGCAAGTGTGAGTACAGGACACTTTTTTTTTTTCTTCCCAGGACCAGGAATTGAATTCAGGACCTTGTGCTTGCCAAGCAGACAGCAGTGCTGCTGAGCTACATCCCCAGCCCAGTTCAGGACACTTCTAAAAATCCAGAGAATGCATACACATCTATTACACCAAGGATCACAGATGTAAAAGTCTACAAGGCAGGTAACACATGCAGGAAAATGGCCTCATGGGCACCATGAAAGCCTAAAATGCTTAAAGGGTAATTGTAATTCTGTGCCAGCCAACTAGAACTATGCAGTAAGGCAGACTCAGTAGTGGCACAACTTTCTGTCTTCCAAAAAAAATGTTTTATGTCTGTTTCAAAATGTTAGCAATAAATTCAAATCTGAACAAAAGACGTCTGCCAGCCAGATCAATTCATGCATTGCCAGGTTAGAACTTCTACACTAGGGAAACAAAATTCTTTCTCAAAAAGGATAAATCTAAATCCCAATCCCCCAAAACATCTTCAACCTGTCCTCCATCCTAATATGCCAACAACTAACATAATTTACCTCTCTGCACAGCTTTCTACCCACTTCTTCATCCAAGCCTACTGAAGCTTTACCTGAAGGAGGAGGCGGAACAGAAGCTTCTCCAGAAGGCCTACTGCTGGGTGAAGACAGGGTCTTGGCACCTCTCAGAGGCCGTTGTGCTTTGGGGGACATGCGGGAAGGGCCTATTTTATTTTTTTAAAAGACAAAGAAGACAGAGAACTTACTATTACCTTCCAATCTGTGTAAACCCTTTCCACGGCCCTTCCCACCTTCTTTATGCCCCTTCTCTACCTGTGTGCTGCTTAACTCACCTCCATTGATACCACGTGCCTCAGAACCTGGGCCAGAGCTGCTACTGTCAAGATGGTGAGGACCACGAGGGGGCAAAGAGCTCAGGCCAGGCCGGGTGCCCCGAGAACCGCTGCATCGGACCCCTCCCCGGGGACCTTCCCGCACTCGTTGAGGCAGAGGGATATACTTGCCCTCCCTGAGGAGAGAGTTCAAGTTAGGGCAGCAGAACCAAGCCCCACACATTCTGCAACATGAATCCTTTCTTTCTGAATTCCCTCCCCTTTCTTTCCCGACACCGGGCTCCAGCTCCTTTCACTGTCCCACTCAAAGATCTGCCCTGGTTAAGTAGCTGTGGCTAAAGGTTTAGGACCTTATGTTTTGTGAACACAGACTTAGCCAACCTGGCCAGTGTTTCACAACCCTGCCACTCCTGACCTATGAGATGGGTTCATGAGGGAACTTTCACAAGATTATATCACATACACATTGATTTGTTTTGTAAAAAGAGCAAACAATAGCCGGGCGTGGTGATGCATGCCTGTAATCCCAGCATTCAGGAGGCTGAGGCAGGAGGATTGCTGTGAGTTTGAGACCAGCCTGGGCTACACAGTGAGTTCCAGGTCAGTCTCAACTACATAGTGAGAACCCGTCTCAAAAAAAAAACAGAAAAAAAAAAGAGCAAAAAATGCAAGGTGTGGTGGTACACGCCTGTAATCTTAGCACTTGGGAGGCTGACGCAAGAGGAACATCTTAAATTCAAGGCCAGACTGGGCTACCTAAGAGCATTCAAGGCCAGCCTAAACCACAGAGACACTGTCTCAAAACAAACAAAAGACAAAACAGTACCTACTTATGAATAGGCAGAAGAAAGTATACTAAAATCCTAAAAAAAAAAAAAAAATTTGTTTTTCTTTCCTCAACCCATAACACATTACTTATCCTCTTTAGTTTTCAGTCTCCAAAATGTAAACATTGCGAACAAAGTCTTTGCCTAAACCGTTTAGTAACACTGCCTACACTGAAACAAGGCAGTGAGGTTTAGTAACACTGTCCGAGGCTCTTGGCCCAGGGTGAGGCTACCACGAGTCCCCAGCAATTACCTGGCTGCTAAACTGGGGCTCTCCCGCCCCGAGCCCTGCCGCTGCACTGCGCTGTGCTTCTCCTCCTCAGTGCGGCCGTCGTCGTTTTCCATGGCGATCCGTAGGCGGTACTGGGGGCTCGACTCAATCTCTCGAGCCAACTGGGCTGCACGCAGCTCTCGCTGGCGGAACTCTTCTGAGTTGTCTTTTTCTAAGGGCACCCTGAGAGAGAACACCCAGAGACCACTATCATTCCAGTGCCAAAAGACTAAAGAGGAAAAAGAACACCTCTATCAGCCCTATAACCAGCTCAGTCAGGCACAGAGCTGCTTAATCCCTTCAATAACTAAGCATGGTGCCCAGGACTTAACCCAGTGCCTCACACATGCCAAGCAAGTGCTCTACAACCACGCCATGTCGCTGGCCTGATCAGCACATTTACTGGGTCCTAGGCAGAGCTTCAAGGCAGATTCTGAATCTGAAGGATGTGTAGATGCTTATGTACTGTAAATCCTAAGGGGAAGGTATGGGCAGGTGGACAAGAGAGCAGTTACTTCTCTCTACAGGCTGCCCAGAATCAGCAAACCTTCAAGGAGTCCTTCACAAGGCAGATCAGGAGTAAGGGAAGGGCGACACACACAAAAACTGCACCTAGAGATCTGCCTTCTGCTGGTGACCTCTCACCCTGTACTGCACCCCAGAAAGCAAGGTACTCACGTGTAAGAAGAAAGACTACTGTCATAGGTAGTCTTCACACCATAGTTCTCCTCATTGAACTTGAACATTTCATTGGGATCCCATCCATTGGACTGGGAAAAAAGGAAGGAAAATGTTTGACACTTAAAATATTGTTTTCCTCCTACCAGGTTAAAAACTTGAAATGACCAAACCTAGAGTAGCACAAGACATGGCTGGTGAAAGTTATCAACTTCTACTGCTAATACACAGCATAAACTGGAAGTAGCTAGTAAAGCTAAGAAGTCCTAAGACCTAAAAAATTCATTTCCAAGTTTATAATCTAAAAATACTCTGGCACATACACATGGGGTTTCATATGGTAAAAGTCAAAAAGTACTTTTTGCAGTATTGCAGATTGAACCACTAGGGCTTTTAGTGAGCGACACCCCCAACTTTCTTATTTAACTTTCATTTTTGAGAGAGGCTCTCACTAAGTCACTAAGTGGCCTAGGCTGGGCTCAAATTTGTAACACTCCTACCTCAGCCTCTAAGACAGGTAGAATTACAGGCGTGCACCATCCCACCACGCCTGGCTAAAAGGGCACTATTTTTAGTAAAAAGACAATAATGGTGCCAGATGTGGTGGTTCATGCCTGTAATCCCAGCACTTGGGAGCCTGAGGCAAGAGGATCACTGTGAGTTCAAGACCAGCCTGGACTAGAAAGTTCCAGTCAGCCTCAACTACATAGTGAGACCCTGTCTCAAAACAACCAAAAAAAGACAATGGCAACAAATCAGATTACCAAGGCAAAGGGAAAATTCAACTGGGGGCGTATACATGTGAATGTATAGTTAAAAGCAACGAAACAGACCTACATGGCAAAACGAAAAGTTTCAAGAAAGCAGATTGCTCTTCAACTTAAACACACAGAACAGAACTCACTCATTCAGAAGATTTTAAATATATTAAAGTTTGTTTTTAGGGGGCCAGGGATTTAGCTCAGGGTGACACACACTGGCTGCTCTGCTCTGAGGGAAGTAGACTATACCATGTCAGATTCCAAGTCATAGTCATCACTGTTGCTGTCACCACCTTCCCAGCGCTGAAGCACCTTCTCTTTGTGCTCCCCGTTCACCTTCGAGTTCATAGCAATGGCGGAGTCAGTGAACTTGTCTGCAGGGGTAGGGGTAACATAAGGAACGAGGTGATGCTCAACACTTCCTCTCCCCTCGGTCTTACTCCCACCTCCAATAGTAATTCAGGAATAAAGAATCCTAGGAGGCCAAAGCTTATCAAGAGTATGTATGCTAGATACCAGCGTAGAGGCTAGAAAAAGAGTGTAACTGTTGAAAAGCAGGAAAAATATCAAGCACCACAATACAAGCTGGAATTCAATTCACTACTACATTTTCAAAAAGAAAAGTATAATCAAGGGCCAGGGATTTGGCTCAGTGGTTCGGCCACCTGCCTAGCAAGCGCAAGGAACTGAGTTTGATCCGCATACCAAAAAAAATAAAATAAATAATAAATAAATAAATAAATAAATAAAAACAAAACAAAAATCAAGTCAACTTGTTCTCCTTGCACACACAAACCTCCCTCTCACCTAACAGACTAAATCTGACAAAGAAGCTTGACAATACCTTTAGTAGCATAATTGAAGTCAACATTGCGGAAGTGAACAAGCATCACATCACTTGGCTTAAACACCATGGTGTCCACGATATCTTCCCGACGAGGGCCACCAGCAGGTTCAGATGCTTTCCTGTGCACTGCATCTACTGCTAGTTCAAACTAAGAGTCCCACCCCCAACAGCCAGGGATTAGTATCAAAAACATGAAGACAAAACAGGTCCATTTCTCTTCTTAAAAATTCCCCAATATGCTTTTCATGTGCCTTGTCTTTTCAATACCAGTCATAAGACTTAGCACGTCTCAAACATATTTAAACTGAAAGCCTGCCAGGTGTGGTGGTATACACTTGTAATCCCAGCACTCAGGACTGTTGAGAATTCAAGACCAGCCTGAGCTAACAGTGAGTTCAAGACCAGCCTGAACTACACACCAAGACCCTGTCTCAAAAGTCAAAACAAAACTTACACCCTACCGAAATAATTAACAGTGTTGTCTGTTACCACCCAATACACCATAATTTCATTCTCCTCCTCCTCTCCTGCAGCTCAGAAAATGAGCTAATTTGAGTACACTGACCTTTGAGCTCAACGTTTTGAAAATGCCTTCATAAGTGGTACCATTTTTCACCTTCACATCACAAGTGGACCCCTAGGGAGAGTGGGAAAAATTGAGTGACTCCAGAAAACTAATGCATTACATTTCTCAAACATCCTAGGGTAAAGTGTTCACTTACCACAACAGCTGTCAAGAAATGTAGCATCCTGGAATTGTTATAGACACCTTCAAACACCTGTCAGTGACACGTGAGGAATAAACAGACACAGCCAGTAAACACCTTTTCTTAAATAGCCACGATGCACTCATATCTAATGTTGGGGCCCCTGGCCTTTCTAAACCCATCTATCTCTGTACCTAACCAACCCTACAGTCTCAAGGTTTTTATTTGTTTGTTTGGTTAGTTTTGGTACCAGGGATCAAACTCCGGACCTTGGTGATGCCACTGAGCCAAATCCCTGGCCCTTTCTCATGTATTTTTTAGAACAATGAACACTATGGAAGAACAAAGGCACTCACAGGTGACTGTGGGGGTCCCTTTCCTGTGCTCTGTCCCCTGTAAAAGAAGGAAACAAGTTAACAAATCCTAGATCCACTTATCACGTGAAGCTGTTGATTTAGGTTACAAGCCAGTTGATCAAGATCTTTCAAATTCTCACCTTAGAGGGAAAAAAGGAGCAAGGCAATAAATGCTAATAAACACATTCCCTCTAAATGCCAATGTAAGAAAATACAATTAACAGTGCCTGTCAATTGCTCTAACGCACCACGACGTTTTCTCCAAGGTTCAGAGCAGCACGCTTCCAACAAACTAATGCTACAGCATTCAATAACCGACAACTCACCCCAGATGTTAAGGTGAACGCTTCGGGAGCATAGGTGCAGTATCACTTAGCTTAGGCACATAACCTCCCAAGCGGTAAAATCATTTTCAGCAGCCTTACGCCTCACAGCCTAGGAGGGTTTTTCCTCCATACCACCCCGCCATTACTCATTCAGCCTATTACCCACTCTGCAGGAGTGACCAAGCGCCAGGTAACCCTGTTCCTCGATGGCTGATGTAACCAGCGGTAGAAGAAGGCGAAGAGGGGGCCGCTGCTGGGGCTGAGGTACAGCGCAGCCGCAAAAACCATACACCGGGAGGCCTCGCCCGGTCTGCGCCTGCGCCCTAGAGCCCCAGGGCCTCTTCAAATCCCCCCCGCCCGCGAGCAGAACCCACTGCGCCTGCGTACACCGCCACTCTCCCATCGCATGCACACACAGAAGGAACCCAGTGGTGTCCGCTACTCACCGACCAACACTGGAAGAAAACCTCCATGCACACACCCAGTCCCCACCCTAAGCGGTACCAGGAACCGCGAACGCACGGGTCAGGACACTCGGCATCCGCGTGCGTCCGAGGAAAGCGCGCCTCAGGCTCGGCGGTGCTCCTTCCGCGCCCCCACCCACCCTGCTCCCCTCCTACTGGCCAGGCCGGGAAGAGGAGGGGCGGCCCGCTCCCAAGTCCCTCCCTTCCCATTGGCCAAACTGCGGGCCGCGCGCCCCCCTCCATTGGATACGGCTGGGACCCCTTCCGGCGGCTGACTCCCCATTGGCCGAAGCTGGGGACCGCGAGACCCTCC